TGTGTGTGTGTGAGTGATTGTGTGTGAGAATGAGACAGGACTAAGTGTGCTCTCATGGCGTTTTGTTTTTCATTTGTGCTGTTTCATGTGTCTTAGAGGTAAACAGATGTATGATATTGACCCAGCTTGACCTCGATGTTTTGAATTGTTTGGAACTTCAAAGTCCTTTGATAATTACTCTTTAGCAAACAGACATACACAGCCATACATACACTCCTTGAAGTAAATAAAAACACCTGGCTGCAAAGCCAAAGCTTCAAATATGTGTAGTTTGGCTGGCTGGTCATTTCATTCGTGTGATACGCAACAATCTGATTTTGTGCAAAAAATAATAATGCAAAAAAATCCATTTTGCTGCTAATCTTTGACATATCCAAGACTGTTATAAAAAAAAAGAGCCAGTCACCAGATATATATTTTTTGGAAAATAACTCATTTTCTCTGTTTTCATCATGAAAAAAACCAGCGGTTTCATGTTTTCAGAATGGCATTTAAAGGGTTAAAATCCTGAAATCTATTAGGGCGGAAGTTGCTTTGAAGATTGAACCCAAAAACGTCGTGAAAAAAACCTTTTAATATAATGTTTTTATCAAAGTATTTTGCAGTGGACATTTTTGTCTCGAATGACTAATTTGCGTAGTCCAATCGAATGATACCGGAGGGTTAAATAAAAAGCAATGTTAATTTTGTTCAAAATGTGTTAAGTTAATTTAATAATATATGTATTTTTGAATCAAGTATTCATCTTTATTGTCTTCATTGTTAGTTTCCACATGCCTAAAACAACCTCAAGCTGAATCTAAAAGTTGAAATAAGAGCGTTTGAGAAATTGTGCAAGGCATAATAGTCCGAATAGTCGATTAATCGTTTCATTAATCGATAGATTAATTGATTATCAAATTAGTCGTTTGTTGCAGCCCTACCTGTGACCCCCTGATCCGAACACCAACACACTAGTCTACTGCGCGACATGCCTTAAAGAGTTGCTTTTGATTTTTTTGTTAATTGGCATGTTTTTTTAAATAATATTTCTTCAGTCCTATTTTTTTTTGTCATTTGACGTTTTTTTTACCTTAATTTTGTCTCACTTTGGTTATTTTTAACCTTTCGTTGGTTACGTTGCCCTCTGCTTTCATTTTGCTTTGTAAGTCACTTTGTAATATCTGTTTTTAAGATATTACTACATTATAACTAAGTGGCAAAGTTTAAAGAGAATACATTAATAGCAGCAATAGAAGAGGTTGAAGGGAAGTTGTCAACATGGTGGAGGAGGTTCTGCATAAACAGAGTGAAAGGCAGAAGATATATATATCCCTTCCTCCTTTTCCCCGGGGTTGGCTTTCATATCAAGTTATATGAAATCTCGACACGTACATAGCCCTCAGTGAGCTGGGGACATTGGTTTGGCCAGCTGTAGGCAATATGCTCTGCTATTCTCACTGAGTAACATGGCAGCAGTCTGGGCATAACATTCGCCTACCAGCCCTTCATCATCATTTTCAATTATCTTTATTACCAGCTTTATGGAGTGGAAATATTCATGGCATGTTATCAGGGTGAGCTGTTATGGCTGCAATAAAAATCATAATTATGTTGAAGGTTTGTGCTGAAAATGTACTTTGATAAGAACAACAACTATTTAATCAAGGCAAGTGTGTAGGCTGAATAAAAGTATTTTGCTACTGCTGACTTAAAACAACCATCTTGACCTTTAAGCAAAGTCATGCCCCATTTGTCCTTCCTTTTAGATATGGTTTTAGACTTTTTATCAAGGTCTAGACTTATTATTATTTTTTCAATTGAAACATCTGTACTCTTGAGTTTTGCTGTCAAGTATTGCCACAGTGTGTGGGCGTACGGTCATCTATATGCAAATGCAGACAAAAAAGCTTCCCACTATCACAATCATGGAAGCTAATCTGAAATAACCGAGTAAAAGCCAGACGAATTCATTAACTAAAATAAAAAAGTCAGATCTTCCATTTAGAAACAATAGATTGAATATCCCAAATCTGTGAAAGGGGTCAACTCAGGTATTTTCCTTTCTGATCACATTAAACTTAACAAGATCAAAGCTTTAGAGCAGTCCTGTGTGTAAAATACCCAGCATGCCCTTGACTTAACAGCAGCTCCTTGATCAATAAGACTGTAAAGATCTAAGTGACAAACGACCACAGTCTTGTGTTTCCAACAGAGTCACGTAGAAGACAGAATGCCTGCTTGTAAAACAAACACACCCACGAGTATATGTGTGCATGTATATGTGAGATTGCTGACACAGATACATCAGCATGCAGCAGGAAATTCACTGCATGGTCGTGGGAACATAGATTTCTTCCGATAGAGAGATAGAGGAGGACGGGGGGGAAATCAATACAGGCAAATACGAAGCAAACCCAGCACTCCAGCCATGAAGAGACGGAGGAAGACTGAAGAGAGAGAAGGCTTTCTTAAGGGAAAAGGTATATACGATATAACAAACATTTATATTTCTGCAGGCCTGAGTCGACCACACGTAAGGTTCAGATTTCTAAGGACATACAAAGGGGGTGTCTTTGTACCCCTAATAGTATCTACTTTTATGTGCGCAGCAGTAATCTCTGCCAGAGAACCTTCACCCACCTCCAGGAAAAACCTATACTGAAATGTCTGAAGGGCTTTAAGATTAGCTAGGGATATTTTGTTAATCTTTCCAGTTAAATAATATTTACCTAAAGTGTTGCACTTGCCTTTACGCCAAAACGAAGAGCTAAGGATTCTGGTAAAAAATGAATGATGCTTTATGGCCTTGAGATCTTTGTCAAGTATTTATGCATTCAAAAAGCTCTGATTTATCCAATTGTGACATAGAGACATGTGACACACACTGGAAAACAAGTATTGGTGACGGATAAGTAAAGCTTGCCAGGTCGGTATTTCGCCGCTAGCCTAGAAGAGGCACAAGTCTACTGTTATGACATACGCTGTCTCATTATAGGGATGTTTCTTGCAGACAATCTTAGCTGTGTGTTAAATACTGTGTGAGTAAGTTAAATACCGAGCTTGCCACCGGTTGCGCTGGGCCTGCGCGCGGCGGAGGGCTCCGGCTTCTTGGGAACTTTTGGGACCTTGAAGGCCTGGGCTGAAGAACGATTCCCATCCACACTGTCATCATCTTCAAAACTACGATCTGGAAGGAGAGAGAAGAGAGAGGAGTGTTACCATCAGCACTGTGGGCAAGGAGAAGTCTCAGTAAACAATGGTATTGAGTAAAGTCCAGAGAGAACATGGGAAAGATTATTATGGATCGAATACGATATTGCAAATCATAAAAAAAGAAGAACAATAATTATATTTTTTCACAATCTGCATGATTGTCAATACAATCAGCAAATACAGAAACACAACTGACGATTGTCCAGTACAGAAAGGTCAATTTCCACATGATATATCTCCTATGTAATACATATGTGTGTCATTTGCTAAATACAAACATGCGCACAATTTTACAGTCTCTTGACAAACTGAATGCTAAAATAATAATAAGTAAAGATGATAAGGAAATTATCTGCCCTTTTCTTATCGTCTTTATTTTTCATTCTAGAGTTGTTTTCTAAAAAGAGAGCTTTGTCAGGACTCTCAAAATCAATACTCATTACACCAATGGTTTAAGAGAAAGAGAAAAAGCAAACACAAACACATCTACAGTAAGACCCTAAAACACAGCCAGCGATCAAGATGTCTACCCAAGCAACCAGTGACTGGCAGAACTCTCTTTGGCCCGAACACTCAATCTGCATGCTAGCAGAACTCAAGCTAGCCAGGAATCTAGCAATAGAACTTGAGGAACCCTTGCAACAACAGTGCAGTATTTTGAATGTGCATCTAGCAGTGAAACACACAAGGAAGACAATTATGTGAGCAACACACACACACACAAACACACAACAGTGGACTGTGGAGATGAAACTGTTGGCAGAGGAATGCAGTTGCGCTCCAGTCGCTCTGACAACCAGCCATTCATGAAATGCGCCATAGCCACCACCCCACACCTTGAATCATACGTCAAACTTACCTACACACACAGCCCATGTGCAAAATCAATTGACAGGCCTGCGTGTGTGTATACAACAAGCGACAGGTTCACAGTGATTGCACAGCCTATCATGTCATACTCAGTAAATGTTTGAAAAAAGACGTATATATCTTTTGCAATGAAATAGCATTTAGCACACATGCAGTCATCGACACACTCACAGTCACAGATCTTCTGGCAGATAAGTCTCCTCATGCTCCTGGGAGGGCGTGGTATCGTGGTCCCCCCTCTTCTCTAAACCGAACCCAAAGACGCATACACACACCTTACACACATTTCATAGCCGGGCTAAAGCTGCACACACACTCCTCACACCGCTGTCCGTATACTCCTCAACACATACAAGTGCCGGCATTTTCTTTCACTCTCTCTCCTTCTATCCCTCCCTTCCTCTCCCAGCATCTCTCCTCCTTCCCTCAGCAGCCTCGCAGCCAATCGGGCGAGAGGTGACATCATATTGTTGCAGCCAGTGTGGAGGCAGGACTGAGTGTGTGTGGGATGGGAGAGAAAGGGAGCGACCCAGACCCCCCCCACACACACACACACACACACACACACTGACACCCCAGGAATATTAACAGGGCTTCATGGTGTCCCTGCCAGACCAGCTAACCTAAGCTCATTACTATTGACAACACACACTCTCCGGCTTCTTACACTCTCGTTCTCTCTCTCTCTCTCTCTCACACAAAATATCAACAACCTTTTAACACAGATTTGATGATACTGCATCAACCTGAGAAACATATTTATCCATATAATCTCTCCCCCTTCCTGTTCAAAAGAACAAAAGGCTGATGGAGCAATGATCAAAGGAGGTCGAAGGGGAGGGTGGGGGAAGACCACCCCCCTCCACCTGAGGCCTTCTCCCCCCTCTCTCATACAGACACACCCACATATACTTAACACACAAAAACAGTGCAGAGATTGAGAATCTATGATCGTGGTTGTTTTGCCCATTTTCACCTTTAATTTGAGGATGATTGAACGTTGAAGAAATGGTATCCCATTCAATATAAATGTTCTACTATCTTATACATCTTTTCAGCCAATTTTTAAAATAGATATTTGGTATTGTGCCTTGCCAATCTTCAGTTCTGGCTTTTTTGCATTCATTTGCATCAATGTCAACTGAATGTATTTTTGACATTACTTCAGACGAATGACAGTGCTATAAATCCATAAAGGGCCATTATGTCGACAAAACTGTATGGATGTAAACAACCCCAAATATTCTTATAGCTTAAAGTGAACGTCAACAAAATCATTGTTTAATTTCAAATCTGATCAAATTGAATTACAAAGCAAGAATACATATATTAATAAATATGTTGTATAACATTTGAAAGATGTTTGGCCCTCAAATGTTTTTTTTCAATTGGCATTATAGCTGTAACAATGACTTTATTGACAGAAAAAAGCAAAATTGTAATTCATGGCAAAACTAATAGTAAAAGCTTTTTCATGAAATGTCCGGCTTTTTCCTATTTCACATCGTATTCTGAATATCTGTGGGTTTTGGAGTGAAAAAACGAAACATTTGAAACACAGTTTGGGATTTTAAGAACATGAAATTGAGATGTTGTGACATTGTATGTACCAAAAGATTACGGTAATAGATAATGACTTTAATGCTAACACTAATTAGCACGTAACGTTAGAATTGCAAACCTGGGTTCTAAGTAAGTGCTATGGATCAGCATCAGGGTCGAGAGGACTACAAGACCACCTTTTCATAAAAAACACACATTTTAGAAAATACAGTGATACGGTGTATGGTTATATTTAAGTAAAGGACATGAGTGTGCAGATCAGATATCTGTTGAATCAGTTGAATTGCTTTCTAACAAGAGCCACGACTCCAGTAGCAATACTCGGTCATGCTTTGAGGGTCTAAGCATTGATTAGCATCACTGTTAGCAGGATTTGCATCTCTTGCTTCTGTCTAGTCAGATCCCGAGGGAGAAAAATGTCTCTGGGTGAAGGGCGGAGAGAGAGAGCGGACTGCACACATGCTGTTGCCATGGCAACTTGTGCAGATCAGTTTCTCAAATGAATAGAGCAGCAAACAGAAACAAAGATGTTCAGAAAGCTCGCCATCACGCATACACATATCCAATTCAGTTTGAATCAACAGTTGGATTTATTGTTCATCCGCTGACTTAATGTGACTTTATTCAATTAGGATGGACTCTGGATTGACGGGGAGGAAACCGGCGGCTGCCTCCAAGGATACACCACGCTGCCAAATAATATGTAACAACATTCAAATACATGTCTACGCACATACACACAAACAAACAGACAGTGTGAAATATCAGCTCCACCATGTACCAGGCAGCGTTGCCATGGAAACTCCAATACCCTCTTCCCATTTCAGAAGAAGAGTCAAAATGAGGAGCAAAACAACTGGCTTAAATATGCAGATCTGACAGTTGCATGGGAATAATCAAAGCAGGGATCAAGACTAACTTCTACAAATCTTTCACACTTTCTCATTTGGTTGCACTAATACATAATTTAGTTACACTTATTCTTTGGTACAGCATTGTTTTATTCAATGGCACTGGCTCAGTTGGTCTCTTCTTGTCTAAAATGTCATCACCATCTCTCATTTCATTTTTATTGAATAATCAGCTATGAATTGGTTCATTTTTGACACACAGTTAGAGATAAATTGATCGTTTTAACACCGCTGTGTACGCGTGCATAGCACACTCTATGGAGCGCACTAAGGATATATAACATGCACTTGCATGATTGAATGTAACCAACACACCTTTCACACACCTTTTGCTGGAAGCCCTGAATTTGTTCAAACATGATCTGCCTAAACATGCACACACACAATAATAAGCTCTTTCCAGATCACAGTCTTGCAAAAGTCATTTAGGGATTAAATCAAAGTTCTGTAAACACAAAGAAATATTCAATTGTGACCACATGGTGGCAGCACTGACTCTGTTCTAAACAAACAAATAAGGCAACAGAAATCAAGACAGAGAGGTACACTGAGACCAACTGAAACATAAACACAAAAGAGAACCAAGGACAGAAAGAGAGTATTTTTGGCTCAACTATAACTACACAGAATACAATAGACAACAGAATACAATAGACAACTTATGAATATCTACTGACTCAATGTTAACACTTAAATTCATGAGATTAAGTTTGTATTTAAGGGAGAATGTTTATGACAAACTGTTATCCTGGACTACTACTAGTGTTACTACTAGTGCTACTACTACTACTACTACTGATAATAATAACAATAATAATAATTATTATAATAATAATACTACACAGTGCATCTGTTAGTGTAAACGTTATCATTATTGGATGCAAGCCTTGCTTCACTCCAGTAACAGAAAATAAGGAAAGTGAACACGTATTTAAGCTGTAAATCTCAACATGCGACTAAGAGTATAACCAGACATCTCTTGAGGAATTAGACTCATACACAGAGAGCCTGTGTTTGTGCTGATCTGTAGTAATCTGCAGGGGAACGGGCAATGTCACATATTCTCACTCAGAGCCATGTGACAGTGTGCAGAGTCCCATGAAAATATGACACACATAGAGAAAACGAGTAAGACTGCAGGAACTGGGACAAAAGCTGTCACAGAGCTCATGACTGCCCCAGATCCAAAGTGAACTACAAGAGGTTTGTGTGTCAACGGAAAACTACAATTTGTACAATTCGCCATGTATAATAATAATAATAATAATAATATTAATAATGCACGTTTACCATCTGTGTTCTAACAGTGATGATTAGTGGAGGAATGTTGTCTTCAGCAGAAGGTATAGAGTGGTGCAGTGACGCGTCCTAAAACCCGGAAGTAAGCTACGCATGGGTTCCCTCAACAAAAAAGCAATGGGATTTCTCCATAGGATTTTGGAAAATAGCTCGAAATAAGGTCTGTGGAAAACTAACCTGTTTTTGTTCAGCCGGATAATATCCACATGTCTACCCTACTTTTATAATTTTCAAATCATAAATCTAATCGATAGATAAATATAGAAGATAACACCACAGATGATTTCATTGCTTAATTATTATGGAACAAGACAGAAGAAATAAATGAAGCAAACATGTCTCTGTTAAATGTTTTATTGAGGTGAACAGATGTTTCAATCTCAGCCGTCCAGTTGTTTCTGGGACGGGGGTCTCTACGAGCGACAGACCGCTCCATTTCCAGCCAAGCTCAGGAATTAATAAGCTTAAATGAAAACACACACAATAACATAAAAATGCTAACATACGCACACACACAGGCACACATTACACACACCCAAAGGCACATACACGCACAGGTATAATTTGAGTTCCAAATTCCTCGTCGGGAAGATGGGATAAACCATAATATTCAGAGGAAAGCTTTGCCATGGCAACCAGCCTAGCCTGGAAACGGGGTCACGGTTTCCTTTGCCGAGCCGAAGATGCACTGGAGTAGAATGAGCATGTCTGCGAGGGAGGGTGTGTGTGTGTGTGTGTGTGTGTGTGTGTGTGTGTGTGTGTGTGTGTGTGTGTGTGTGTGTGTGTGTGTGTGTGTATATATATATATATATATATATATATGTGTCAGTCCCTGTCAAAACTGACTGAGCTATGCAAGCAATGAAAGCTGCAACTCATAGTCAGTCTGCAAAGCAGCAAATATATCCTGGCTTGTGTGTAGGTTTGTGTTTTTGTGTTCGAACAAGCACAGTTTCAGATAAGGACCAAATAACATTCAGTAAGGTGCCAGCAGCACTGACAGTGACATGTTCTAATTTCTTACACAGAAACGCCAGACACAAGCTTCATTGCTCTTCACGCAATGTAGAGAATGTACAAATGAATTATCAGTTCGATGTTAACCAGGTTTAGTTTACCAAAAGTCTGTGACGCAGCTCAATTATTTTCTCTTGATAGAAGTTTCAGTAACACCTACTGTATGCTTGTTTAATGTTATTATAAGTATTCCTATTTGTTTTTATATGTTTGACCTGAAAATGTATTAAACCAATAAATGTGTCTTGTTAATTCATTTGGAATGAGCTTAATCATCTGCGTTATATGAAAATGAACACCAACTATGTTACTATTATTAGATTGCAAATATTGAGGTTATATCATTTGATCTGTTTATATCTGGACTAGGAAGAGTTATTTTCAAAACAGACAGAAAGAAGCAAAACAAAAGTCTATCATTTACGCAAATGATGTTCTATTGCTTTTTCTGTTCTCATAATCAGGTAGATGTGTTGGTCTAATGTGGGAGGAAAACCACTCTTTAATACTGGAGTCAAGTCATGATTTGTTCATCATCAATTATCTGTCCACTGGCTTATTAAAAACGTTGGCCAGTTTAAGAAACAGTAGAGTTGCCAACACACACTTGACCCAATACTGCTGCAACAGGAAAGAGTTGAAGTGGGAGAAAAAGGGCAGACATCAAGAGTCTACTTCAGTGTTATTCTCTTTTCAGGTCACTTCAAAAAGGTCACTGACTAGCAAGAAACAACCTGATGGAGAGGTATAGGACACCACAGTTTTCACACACACCCTATTTGAGCCAGAGCATTTGGGGTTAAAGTGCTTGGAGATTAAGCTGATTTTAATTTAAAACCATATGTGGACAAGCCTTTGTCTCAGTGCCAGCATCCATATCCAGATGAGATTAAACACACACACACACACAGAGAGAGAGTTATGGATAGTAACTTCCTGTTGTCTTTGTCTATTTTGGCTCCCCTTCCTCTGTTATCTTCTTTCCTCTAATGCAGGGGTACTCAAACTTTTGTGAATTGTATACAAGGTCACTGGTCCGGCTCAATGCCAGTAAAGTCACACACACATTCAATAAAATACATACAGTATGGTGGCTTGAACTAGTGGGAGAAATGGCACTGTTTGTCTGTAGTCACTGCCTTGAACCTCCACAAAAAAGGCATGAGAAGCATTAGAAAGTCAAGGTAAACTTGCGGTTAACTAAGAAAATATAAATTAATTTACATCAGAACGTTTTTATTTTGTATAATTTTTATAAATGGGACACAGGGTTCGGTCCGGATTGATTTGCAGTTCGGCCCGCAGTTTGAGAAGCCCTGCTCTAATGTATTCAATCCAATCCCTCTCCCTCTCTCTGTCATGATGAATCAGGGAGAGGCAGTGATAGGCACAGCGCTGTGACTCGCCTACTGCGAGAGATCTCCGTCTGCGTCCTCCCTCAATCCCCCCGCCTCCCATCCTCTCTCCTGTTCTCTCAGCAACAGCTGCCGAAAACCCTCCACAGCAAATACAAAGGGCTGGCCTAAATTAGATGTGGGGCAAGGGCAAGGAGGAGCAGGTGTCTGTGTGCAGATGTGTGTTTTAGTGTAAGGTGCATGTTTGCATCCTGTATTAGTTCTTAGTAGCTAATGTACTAATGTGTCCCCCTTTTCTTTTTAGATTTTCTCACCAAAAAAAGTTCACTGAGCCTTTGGCTGATCTGTGTGACTTGTTGAGTGTCAAACATGAGTTCAGAAGTTCAAATTAGCTGAGAGTCAATTTCATTTTTATAGGAAATCATGTGTCATGAAACTAATCTGCAGATTGATCCTTACGAATAATAATTGGACTTAAATAGACAGGGATGAGAATGCAATGACAATTTAAATGTGTGTCACTAAACAAAAAGCAGCATGATCAAACGAAACAAGGAGAAGTACACTTGAGGTGTCAGCCAAGGGCAGCCAAAGTTCTCCTGCTGAGCATCTGTTGACACTTTCACCTCACGCTTACTCAGGGAGTAGAAAATGTGGTCAACACATAACGTCAGACAGGGAGAGTTTTCAAAAGGAGCTACCTAAAGAGGCACCAACCATGGATTAGCAGTCCAATTAAGGTATGGTTGTAAAGGGGTTTGAGAACTGCTTTTTTAGGCTGTTTCAGGCAAACAGGGAGGGTGAAAGCTGTCTGTGTCTAAGGTATGAAGAATGAGTGTGTGTCAATAAAGAGGCCCTATTACATGTTGCAATTTTTACAAATGTTACTATTGTCCGTCTGCCACCATTGTAAAAAAAAAAAAAGGCCAACAATATTTCCAAAATATTCTATCTGGATAATCACAAGCAGTGCTTTCATGCCCAGTCAAGCATATGACAGAAAACAACAACACAAGAGATTAAAATAAATCATTTGATCATAACAAATTCATAACCATGAGCGAATATCAAAACTTGCTCTAAAGCTTAGGGGGGTGGGAGATAAAAGTAGCTCTCCCTCCATGTCTCTGCTGACACCAGAGACAGCATCGTGGCAATGACACCAACTACCCGCCCCGAGCCACGTCTCTCCTCGGTTCTTCTCTTTCAAAGTAAACAAACTGCAACACCGACCGCTGCTGTCCCATTGAGACTGACAGAGACTGTGACAGGCCGCCTGGAGGTAGCAAGGCCAATGTCAGGATCCTCGACAACAACAACAACAGACATAACTGACCTCACAGTGGAGACGTTTCAATAACTTTTTTCCCCATTAATGGTACAGCAATATATCCTTACAATAAGTTTACAATAAGCTATTATGCTTCTTTATCATTTCTCTTGAGGTTTCATCAACTGTAAGTTTGGATCCCATAGAGATTGACAAGTTTTGGTTGATGCTCAAAGCGTTAATGAGCTGACAGAATATATGATAATATGATATTGAATCAGCGTATAAACTAATATGCCAATATCTGTCCCTGCATTTCAGGTTTTATTGAAACCATTTCTGATACTGTTATCGGTAACGTAACAACTCTACCTCAAACAATCCAAATTTTTCTAGTACCAATTGCTTCTGCTCATACCAAATACCTCTCAGATTCTATTGCTGTTTTTAATTTGTACTAATCTCAAACCTATTGCTTTTGGAATTACTTTCATAGGCAAACTTCGGGGGCCAGGAGTTGCTGTAGCACTGACAACTGATTCTGCATATCAGACTGTTAGATCCCATAACACAATGTATTTGTTGGTGGAAACAGCACAATAACGATAGCAGCTGTTCTTTCAAACTATCAAAGAGACTTCATTGTTATTCAGTGAATAATTGAAAAATCTAATTGTTTAAGAGCTATTGTACCAACTGTTTTACTCTGAGGGTAAAAATACAAAGTGAAACATTTCTGTAGGGTGTGTCGTCAATACCACCATAACCTTCTGTGTTTTAACAACAATGGTTGAGCCTGAGGATCCCAGAGACACACACAACATACACTCAGCTTCAGCCTTCAGCTCAGGTCTGACCGGCAACAAACACACACAAATGCACCCAGACACACATTAAACCATTAATCCTGTTAGGTCCTCTTACAGGGGCTCATGGCAACAAACATTACCACAACACACACACACACACACACGCACATACACACACACACACACACACACACACACACACACACACACACACACACACACACACACACACACACACACACACACACACACACACACACACACACACACACACACACACACACACACACACACACCGTGACAACAGGGCTAAACTATGTGGCTCTCAGAGGGCAACACAACTGTGGCAAAATAAAAGAGAGAAGGCACTCACCGTGACTCGGGCTGAGAGCCATGTTGCCTGAACTCAAGGCTTCATCAAAACGAGAGAATAACGTCTGTAACCTAGAGAGAGAGAGAGAATAACTGTTAGAGCAAAAGATACCAACATAGCTTATCAAAAACTATAATTGCAGAATTGTAATAGGGCTGGGTAGTATGGCTAAAAGCTTCTATACCGATATAGGT